TTAGGGTTTAGCCCTGCCAAGAACTCAAAAACCCTATTCCTCTCTACCAGTCTGTGATAAGTTGTTGCATCATTTACACTTTCCCATACCACAGTTTCTAAGTGATCTATTTCCTGCCATAGGGTTTTCAGCATGGAGAAATACATAACAAGAGGTTTTTCTACCTATTTCATACTTATCACCTGATTTCTTAACTGATAGACTTTGGCTTCATTTTGCTTATGAGAGTAGGTTTCAGTCACTCCATCCCAAATCTCCTTAGCAGTATTAGCCCATAGGATTTTTTTTGCAATATGAGGTAACATAGAATTACACAGCTAGGACATTACCATGTAATTCTCCTGCACCCATCGGGAAGAGTTTGTATCAGGTTTCTTCTCCTCCCTAGTGAGATACCCTAATTTTCCACGGGCACCAATAGCCATTTTAGCTGATTGTGCCCACTCCAAATAATTTGTACCATCAAATTTTACTGTAGTAATGAACCCAGACCCAAAAATATCACTACTACCTCCAACACCCAGCCCCACAGTACCGGTAGATTTCATCTCCGTATTCCAACTCTCCATCTTACTTCAAACAGTTCAACAATAAGAAAAAATAGATTGGAGGCCTTCAAGAAATAATTTAATATCACACACACAGAAACCAACCCTTCCGGAAGAAGAAAACCCTAGATGGAGGGAAATCTCTCTCTTCCCCATGCCTCCCAACAGAGAGAAAAGTGAATCGATCACCCCGGGAGGCCCAAAAACCAAACCGCCCTCTTCAGAAAATCAAAAGAAAACTAGCAATACCTGGGCGCCCAAGATCAGATAAAAAACAAAGAGTCCAACTTTTTTGGGACTCTTCCCCGAACTCCAGTTCTTCCTGATTTTGATGCCGAACAATAGATCACTTTCCTGATGACTAGATCCCACCAAAAACTCCAAGAACTGGGCAATCTATAGCAGATCGATCAGCCATTTACTACTTCATGCAATTGGCTGGTCTAGGGCTGCATGAGAATGCTTCAAGAAACCCTAGCCGATGCTTTGATACCAAGTAAAAATCTGCTGAATTAAAAAATATAAAAGAAAAGTAGTTTCTTGAAGAGAGAAGGAAGAGAGAAGGAGAAGAAGAGAAGAAGAGAAGTTGGAAAGAAAAGAGAGCAATGATTTGACCGCCCCCTTCACTTATTATTTATACTAAAATAATAGAATAGTACAAAGACAACTATGCTCTTATAGGGCGGCAAAACATAAAACAGCATATATAACACTCAAAAACATAATAAAATTTGGACTCACATAATTACTGTGGTCCCCACCTCCTATCTAACAACTAGCATAAAACATCTACTCAGAAAAACATCATAAAACTAATTAATCTTCAACATGTTACAATGGAGGGACACAGTTTTCTTTCTAAAAAACATATACCACCAAGTCAGAAATGATCTAAATGCATTTATTGAGTTCATAGGATAGGAGGATTTTCAGACATATTTTCAAGGTACCAAAGACGGAAGCAGTGCTGGAAAGGATGGAATTAAAAACTACTAGTGCAAATCTAAGTCAGCTCCAGTTGGTGGCATTAAGTTAGGTAAGATGGTTCTGCAATGTGCATTTGGGACCACCTTGCATGGTTGAAGTACTAACTTCTACTTCACTTACTACTAGTAAGTGAAGAACAAGGATGCACAGCTGAATGGAGGATATGGCTCTTGGTGGGAAGGGGTGGTGAAATAGGATTTTAGCCAGCCCCAAGTAGCTGGGATAAGGCTTTGTTGTGTTGAGTTCTCATAAAAATTTGGCGATTGCAGTGAGGCGTGCCTCAGGCATGGACTATGTAGTTGTTAGCTTTCTGCTGTGTATTACTCCCCGCGTTCGGACCACATTTGGATGCAGGAGTGATAACATTTTTATTATTATTGGAATTGTTTTGATTGATAAAAATAATGATCAAAACAACATGTTTCTCAAATCATAGGGAGGCAGTTGTCTCAAAAATCTAATTGCCAAAGTAATATTGTGTATGTGGGTGTGTATTTTAATTGAGATCTAGGCAGGAGCATCTCATCCACAGGGTCAGGATTGAGTGTCCAGAGGCTGTTCTCTCCTACGTTTTTCAGTTGGCCTAAGAAGAGAGGGAAGATTATGTGGAGGAGCATTAGGGCAGCTGTATGTTGGCCCCTTTGGGAAGAAAGAAAGTTACGAATTTTCTCAGACAAGGACAGATCCCTGGCAAACCTATTAGGTTTAATACTTTTAAGGGCTGTCCATTGGCTAAAATCTCTGGAGCTGTTTTCAGACTTTCCTGTGGCCGACTTTTTAAGAAATTGGAAAGAGAACTACTTCTGCTTTGTGTAAGAGGACTCCTAGTCCCTCATGGTCCCCTCCTCCCTCTGGATTCATAAAACTGAATTTTGATGGCAGTAGTTTGGGGAATCCAGGACCTTCTGGGATTGGGGGAGTGCTCAGGAATGAGGAGGGGAAGGAGACTCTATTAGGGCTGAGATCTTTGCAGCTCTGGAAGGAATTCAAAGAGCAAGGGAACTAAATATCAGACATTTGGTCTTGGAAGGTGACTCGAAGGTGGTGATTAGCTGGCTGAAGGAAGAGGACAGTGGCTTGTGGAGCTATAATAATGAAAAGAAAAAATTCTGTTGGTTGGGCAGAGACATTGAGATACACTATAGCTGGGTGAAGAGGTCTGCCAACTCATTTGCAGATGGGCTGGCCAAGCAGGGGGTGAATAGGGAGGCTATCTTTTGGGCTAATTTTTAACTTTCTGTCTTTGTATTCTGTTGTTGGGGAGTTAAGTCTTTTTACCTCCCCTTTTGTATCTAAATCTTCACAAATATTCGCATCATTTATAAAGTTCTATTGTTATTGATAAAAAAAAAACCTTTGGTAGAAACCTTCCCATCTTTATTCATGGCTGCATTGAACAGGGATTGATGCTTTAAAGATTGCTATGAAATCCTAAACAGAGCTGCTGCGTGGAACTCCCAGTTCAGGAGAAATATGAATTATTGGGAGGTTGAATCCATGGTGGACTTGTTGCTATACAGGTGGGCAAAACAGATAGGAGGTGCTGGGAGTGGGACATGTGAGGTGCTTCTCTGTCAAATCTTTTTTTTTGATAAGTAAAGTCTTCGAGAAGCTGGACTATCAATCCCTTAATGAATTCCCAAGTCACTCAACCGGCAACGGTGGATTTATGACTTTGCTGATAAAAAAAAATCCCAAGTTACTCAATATGGCAACTAGCAGCACCTTTGGAAGTGGCTTTTTTAGCACGGACTGCAACCTTAGAGAGATGCATAGCAGTTGATAGGCTATTGAGTAGCAGAATGGCACTGAACAGTGTTAGTTGCACCCTTTCTTTGATTGCTTCTGCGATGAGAAATCACCTACTTCTGCACTTCCCATTTGCTGCAAACATATGGAAAGTAGCCCTGGATGCTTTTGGATTGAGTGGCTGCTTTCCAGATTCAATTGAACATTTTCTTCAAGAATAGCAGGGGCCATTGCTTGGTGCAATGGTAAAATCTTGGTCTGACAAGGCACATAACATGTACATATCAGTGGGTGGGTAGGGAGGCAAATGCTTTGGCTGATCATCTTGCTAAACAGGGGGCTACTAGGGACCATTTATTCTGGGCAGCATTATAATTTTTTCTGATCTTTTGTAACGATTAGGGGAGGCTGCATCTCGTGCCTCTCCAAGGGATTCTTGTAAAATCTTATTCCTATTGTTTAATGAAATCATTTTCAATTATCAAAAAAAAAAAAAATCTTGGTCTGACAAGCATAAGAACAGGGGTTTTGAATCTGAGAGCAGCCATCATGTGCAAAAAATGCTAAATGTTAGGTCCTTATCCAGTCCAACCCTCCCAAGCTCCCATATAGCTGCCCTGACATTAGGTAATGGACTTATTAATAATAACCATTAAAAATCTTTGCTGTGCAAAACATGTTTACTTTGTTAAGTAATAATACAATTCTTATTTGTTTTAATTTAGTTAAGAATTTAATATTTTTGATAGGTAATGGTTAAAAATTTATTGATTATCAATACTGGGGCAAGTTCTTACTTGTCTGTAAACAGCTGATGTCACCTCGGTGGTACATAAGGAACTTTGATAATCGTGGAATTCGTATGATACATTTGTAAGTACCTTGTAAATCTTATATCTGGTAGAACATTTCCCATTATAACTGAAACTTGAATGTCTTTTTTTTTAAGCAATTATAACTTGAAACTATTGCAGATCATATCATAATGAGGAACATTACAACAGCGTGCGGTTAAAGGATGATGAATGCAATGGCCCAGCTAAGCCAATTGTGATCAAGGTTTGAGTTTACTAGGACTTGTAATTTTAAGATCCATAATCATAATTTTTTTTTTTGTTTTTCTATAAAAAAACCTATAGTTGTATTGTGCTATTCCTGGTTCATGTCTGAACTCCAATATGTGAGCAAAGGTTTTAACTTATATTGTATTTTGATAATTGAAAAATTAATTTCATTAATCAAGCATAATAGAACTTTAAAAGCTTCCCTTGAAGAGGCGCAAGGTGCAGCCTCTCCTAATCAATACAAAGGATCATAAAAACAGTTTTAACTTATATTGTTACTCTTGAAAGGCTGATGCTGATTGTGATTTAAGGTTGGAATTTGCTGGAACTTGTTACTCTTGAAAGTCTTATTGTTTTTTTTTTTATCAGCAAAAAACTTTCATTAATAACAGGGAAATTAAGATACAATAGATAAAGATTGCAGAGGGACAAACTGCAATCTCCAGCAATTAGTTACAATTCTGCCCGGTACAATGAAGATCTATTTGCCCCTTGTTTTGCCAAGGTATCTGCCATCCCATTTGCATCCCGTTTGACCCAACCAAACTGAGAGTTGAACTTCCTTGCAAGTGTGTCAATTTCTCTGAAGATAAATTTGAGCTTCCCAGGTACTGATGTGATGTTTTTGGCCCAAGAGATGACCAATAGTGAGTCTCCTTCTATTTCTAAGTCTGTTGTTCCTATCTGCTCAGCCATCTTTAGACCTTGAAGTAGGGTTAGAGATTCAGCCTATATTGAGTCACCAAAACCTATTGGTCCTGAGTAGAGTGCCACCACCACACCCAAATGATTTCTAAACACACCCCCTATGCCTGCCCTTCTTGGGTTGCCAAGAGAACTCCCATCGAAGTTCAGTTTTAGTTTGTTCAGTGCCGATGGCTTCCATTCCATACTTACAAGTACTTTGGGTACATCTGTTTGTGCTACTTCAGCCCAATTTCTTACTATCTCATTCGTGGAGTAGTTTCTGAATATCTCCATGATCTTCACCCAATGTGCAATTTTGATTTTTATGGCTTCAATAACTTCCTCCTTTGTTTTGCTTTTTCCTGAAAAGATTCTTAGGTTTCTTTCCTCTTTTCTTCTGTTGACACAGGAAAGAGGGGCTGAACAGACCTGCCACATCCTGTGGGGGGACCCCATCTGCATCCAAAGAGAGAATAAACAACATTCCAAATACCCGAAGCAAAAGAGTAGGATAAAAGTAAGTGGGTTAGGGTTTCACCACATCCCAAACAAAAGACACGCACATGAGGAGAGAGGCAATTGTTTGGCCTCCTTTTCTGTAGCACATCACAAGTGTTTACCTTCCTAAGGAACACTTCCCAATAGAAAGCTTGTACTTTTGGAGGGATTTGTTTAGACCAAATTTCTCTCACTGGGAAGTTCACCCCCATAGGATCAATGTGAGTGAGCAAACCAAAGAAAGATGCATAGGAAAATAAGCCATCAGAAGTTGGGGACCAAACTCTACAATCAGCTATAGATTGGTCCAAGTAGACCCTCTTAAGTGTTGAAATCAAAAGCACTAGAGATTCACACTCATTTTCCTTCAACCCTCTTTTGAAACCAAAATCCCAAGAGATCCCCGACTCTGAAAGCACACCAAACCTAGCAACAGGTTTGTTTTTATGGTTTGATAAGGAGTGGAGGTTTGGGAATTTGATCATAAGAGGCACATCCCCAACCCAAAGGTCTTCCTAGAATAAAACTTTGTTGCCACAACCAACATCAAACCTGATAAATTGAAGAAAGGTTGGATATACCTCAAAGATTGCCTTCCAGGGAGAGGATGGAGCTGCATTGTGGGCTAGTTTTGCATCCCAGTCGTTATTTGCTTCACTATGTAAGCTTTTAATGACCTTGTGCCACAACCTTTCTTCTTCACAAGGGAATCTCCACAGCCATTTCCCCAGAAGGGCCTTGTTTTTCTTTAATAGGTTCCCTGTACCTAATCCACCCTGCTCCTTAGGGTAACAAACTTGCTCCCACTTCACTAAATAATCTTTCTTTTCATCACCTGGTTCCCACAAAAAATCCCTCATAATCTTCTCCAACTTCCTAGCTATTTTCACCGAGATCTTAAAGGTGGAGAGGAAATAAGTGGGTAGGTTTGCTAGGGTTGATTTTATCAAGGTGATTCTTCCCCCCAAGGATATATAATTTCTCTTCCACATTGCCAACTTCTTYATGAACCTCTCTACCACCGGTTTCTAGAAGCTTTCAGCTTTTGGATTCCCACCCAAGGGCATACCTAAGTATTCCAGAGGCCAATTTTTCACTTCACAACCTAGCAGATTTGCCATGGCTTGGATGTCCCCCCCCCCCCCTTCAATGTTGATTCCAGCTACACAGCTTTTTCCCGAATTGACTTTCAGTTTGGAGGTCTGTTGAAATTCATCCACCAATCTTTTCAGATTCCTTAAACTGGATTCATCACAATTTTCACAGAAAATGATTATGCCATCAACAAATTGCAATGAGACACCACCACTTCTGATCTACCCATCCTCCAACCTTTAAACTGGTTTTCTTGATCAGCCTTGGTGATTTGTCTACTCAAAACCCCAGCCACAAAGGTGAATAAGAATGGGGATAAGGGATCAACCTGTCTTAGTCCTCTTTTAGCTTGGAAGAAATCCTTTCCTACCCCATTCATCAGAATAGAAAAATGTGCTGAGCTAATACATTCTTTAATTCACATCCTCCATCTTTCACCTAGCCCCATCTTTTCCATTAAATTCAACAGGAAGGACCAATTCACCATATCATAAGCTTTTTCTAGGTCCAATTTACAAATCATACCTTTACCACCTTGTTTTCTCTTAGCTGCCACACACTCATTTGCCACTAAGATTTGATCCACAATTTGTCTCCCTTCTACAAAAGCTCCTTGGTTCTGAGA